TAAACGGAAATGCTTCACGAGCATCACACTAATATATATATACTAGCTGACCTAGCGAACTTCGTAACGCCATAAAAAAATTGGGGTTGGTGGTAGAAGGGTGAAAATTTAGGGTACATACAGTATTTTTGTATGACGTATCATAAAAAAAGTAAAAAAAAAATAGGGGTGGATTACCCTTAACATTTAGGGGGATGAAAAATAGATGTTGTCCGATTCATATACCCAATATGCACACAAAATTTCATGAGAATCTGGAAAGCCGTTTCGGAGGAGTTTAACCACAAACACCGCGACACGAGAATTTTATATATTGGATAGATGTGTGTGTTTGTGTGTGAGTGTGGGATGCGTGCGCAGCTCATTTTCGGAAAAGGCGGAAACGCTATGCTCCCCACGACAACGGCTAACTAGAGCCGAGGTCCGAGTCTCAGAGACGCCCTCTAGTTGAGCCGACCCCCTCAGGTTCGTGTGGTCTAGAGACTCCAGACGGAGAGGAGACTCCCCCGCCCCGTGGGGAAACGCCATCCGCCTGGAATACCTAAAGAGGCACTCACCAATTCTCGGCTTGAGGTCGCCTTAGGATCTCGCCGTCCCCAAACCAGGTGACGCTGTAAAGGTCATCTACGACCGACAGCGTATGCTGAGTGTGTATACACTCAAAAAAAAAACAAAAAAAAAAGGAAGCGTTTCCTTTTTTTTGAGTCACACGCGACAATATATATATGTCGTGGCCATATCGTAGATTTGATTACTTCATGAAATGCTCGAAAATTTCATGAAATAGTCGCATTTCATGAAATGTTTCACTATCTATTGGCCACATCATGATGTGGTTTGGGCAGATCAATGATGAGAAATCGTTTCACGATATGGCCAACTAAACGCGTGGCTACTTCATGAAATGGCAAAAATTATTTGATCATATTGTAAAGTAGTTACATTAATTACCGGTAGAGGCGCTGCAAGCGCTTTGTTTATATATTTATATGGCGGCCGCTGCCGACAATGTTGTTTCTCACAGTAAAAAAGTGCATAATTCGTTATTTAATGAGGAAGAAAGTTAACAAAAGGGTTTTCGACGAAACAAATTAAGGAGAGTAGGGTGACTACGCAAAAGAAATCTATGGACTATTACTGGCTGTCAAAATATGACATTTTGAAAACCGCGGATGAGGTACAAAGTGCGGATGAGAATCAATGCCGTACAAACAACTATACTGTAAGATATACTGTAAAACTGTACTTCCAGGGCCCAAGAGGTGATACTTGTTTTTTTTTTGTAGAAAAGGTCTCTTTTAATAGAGTTTTTTTTCTGGCGCTTCGCCGGCCGCTGCCGCGGCACGCTCGCTTTGCTCGCTCGGCTCGCGCGTCATGGTCACAACACTAACCTAACCTAACCTAGTGTGAAGTATTACCGTTTGGGGCCTGGAAGAACAGTTAAGTCTACTATTGTAATATGTACCAAAGCACCTTATTATTTCTAAATATTTGATAGTTTCCTAAATATAAATGTGTACACAACATATGAGTGATATGTGCGCTGCTCTATTCCCCTATGCAGTATTGACCTGCCATAACTTGATTATTATTTTTTAAGTAGCATGACCATGGATACAAGTCCTTCAGGCGTATACATAAAAATAAATCTTAATCTTCTTTTTTTTATTTACATTAGAATGTCGGTGTGACGCATTCTAATGTTTCTTGGAGTGTTTGGCACTAAATGTATCATGTTGGTTTTTTCGATAAGCTTCTGTGAGGTAGTCAACACTACAATAAAGTTCTCACGTCCATTTGACTGGAATAGCGTATATTTAAAGGATTCCACTAATTCTTCAGTTGCGCAGATGGTTGTACAAAATCACACCAATTTTATTTCACAATATGAGTAAAAACACCAAATAAAAATTCAAAACATAGATATGGCTTCTGCCGCAGCCTCAATACGTCCCTGAACTTAATTGTATATTGTGAGAAAACTGCTATTAAATTTTTCCGGGTCATTTTTCTCAATTCCGGTGGGTCCAGGCCACTTAGCGACCCTAGGTGTCATGCAATGCCCGCCCCACTGACACACATGTCAAGGACCTCGGGAGATCCTCGGTACTGGAGTATTGTCTGGTAAATACTGGTTAGGTCTACCCCCTCATTTCGCTGAGCCAGCAGGCTGGGTGAAAAAAGAGGGTAGCAGTCCATTGATACCTCCGTAGTGTTTCTCCCGATAGCGTAACGCATTTTCCAGACTTAAAAAAAAAAAGGTTTTCTGGGTCTTCTCCCCTCAAATCACGCCCACCCACTCAGCTAGCCAATGGGGTCGGCTTAATAGACGATAGGGATAAGGTTGGGACCTTACCCACTAAAAACCTTACAGTGCTCCCTCGTCTGCCTCGGAACTCCGGAAGGGTCCTATCTGACAGAACGTTTTGCTTCGAAATTCATTTGTGGTACACAATAATAGAGCCAATTATGAACACGACGGTAGTGAAAACACGAAGGGTTAATCCAGATGCTTTTAGCGCGTTCGAAGCAGGGCTTGTAACCGGTTTCGAAAATACCGGTAAATAAAGGTTAATACCGGTTTTTAGTGAAGGGTTCGTTGGGAGCACGTCCGAAATGAAAGCGGTACCTAAAACTTTAATAAACCGGTTAAATCCAGAGCGACACGTGCACGCGTCGGTATCGCTTGAAGTTTGTTTTGTTTGAACTAATCAAGTCACTTAACAAGTTGCTCAGAGATTGATGCATTTATTGACACGTTCGCTAGCGTCTAGTGAGTCAAGTTATTCATTTTGTAGTTGTGTACTGACACACTACTTCACTCACTCTGTAGTTGGAAAGAAACTGACATAAAATAATTTGAATTGAAACGGCGAAGGCGATGCCGTCAGTAAGAGCGAAATGAAACCCTTTAAAAACCGTTAAATTGATTCAAAACCTAATTGATTTCGCTTTTTAGGAAAACCGTTTCTTTTAAGGTTAAGGTAGAGCCAAACCTAAAAAAAATATTGCCGCCATGTAAACCATGCTAAAAATGTGATAAGATACCTACCTACGCAATGTGCACAACCGACTACGCGCACTGGCTCCGGCTCATGCATTTCGCTGTTTTTGTCGGCTAGTTTCGATATGGTTATTTTTTTTTTAACGGAAGGCATGCACACACACACACACACGCTACACCAAACACTTACGTACACACTCATTTACACAAAGTTAGTTATCATGCTCCTTTTATAATTTTGATTTATATAGGTATTTATAATTATCGCAAAATTAATTTGAATCTTTGTTGGTATTTCTTTTATATTATTGTTAATTTGTAATTTCTACCCTACGTAATCATTTTAATTTTTAAATTGAATACAAAGTGAGTTTCTGTAATTGGCTAAAGTACCGTTTAAAATTTTATATTAGATTATATTGTGTAAAACGCTGTTGAAACTTGTTGATGATAAATAAATAAAAAAAATAAAATAAAATAAAAACGCTCCTAATGTACTTGATACTGATTTAGGTTTGAAAATTAACCGGTAAACAAGCCTTAGTTCGAACGCGCTGACAGTTAGTTGCGCCTCAAACGGGCTAAAACATCGGAGTTTAACGAGAGGTTTTTTTTCACTGCTATTTTTTTACATGCTCATTGAACCGTGCGTATCAGCGTGAAGGTCGGTCGTCTGTATTCTATTAATAGCAAATTTATTTGTATCAGGTACATCATCAACATCAAAACTGTCCTGATTTTTATTTTTTATTTATTTATCAAGATCTATTATCAAGCAAATCATTAAGATTAGGACAAGACATTATTCCTAGGAAATCAAATACGCAGTGGCTAGAGGAATTTCAGTAATAGGGGTGATGACGGGGTACAGTAAACGAAATTCTATTTAGTCCGTCAGTTAGATGATCAAAAAATAATGGACACGTTTCTTTGGGCAATCAACCAAAAAATGACAAAGTTATAGCGCGTCAAAGTTTGGGAGTAGGGGCTCATGACGTCACTTTTTAGTGAATATTCGCTTAAAAGTGTACTCAAACGTGACGTCATTTTAAATCAATATATCTCTGCAATGTTTATATTATATGAAAAAAGAAAAAATACGTGTTCAATACTTTTTGATAATCTACCTGATAAACGAAGAAAAAAAAATTAGTCATCATCCCTATTGGATGAGTGATGGAAGAAAGGACGTTAAGGTGTTAGAACCTGCTACATCTGCAGTCGTCAGCACCCGCTAACCAGTTCTAAGCCAACGTGGTAATTCAGTAGTACTAATAATGTTAAAAAATATAACTAGAAAAAAATCCGGGCGAATGCACTGACCAATTATGCTACCGCGGCCCTCACGGACCGCGTCGAAATTCTTCTAGCCATTCTTAAGCTGCAAGGCAGCGCCAATTCTTCGCGTTATAGGTAACCCACAATGTCAAATGAATACTTTTACAAGTATTAAACCTTGCAGCTTAAGAATGGCTAGAAGAATTTCGACGCGGTCCGTGAGGGCCGCGGTAGCATAATTGGTCAGTGCATTCGCCCGGATTGCGAAGGGTGCGGGTTCGAGTCCCGTCTGCTGTCTGATCCGCGTGGATTTTTTTCTAGTTATATTTTCTTTAGATTTAAACATCAAGCAGTTACATGGGGGCTGTTCAAGTATTACGTAAGCACTATAGGGGGCTCATCATATCATTGCTTTGCTTATTTTTGATGACATGGGGGGGTGGGGGGTTAGAGATGGTGATTACGTCAGCATCATCGATTAAGCCTTTTTAAGTACTACTGCTCATGAAAGCTCATGAATCAATAAAAAAAAACAGAATAGATTAAAGGACAAATGCATATAGGTACCAATGTTTACGTAAGCATGGGGGGGAGGGGTAAGAGCTTTGCTTACTTTTGCTGACAAGGGGGAGGAGGGGGTAAAAATTGTAATAAATCTGCTTACGTAATACTTGAACGGCCCCATGCTTAAAAATTATAAGTACTAATAATGACTTACCCATAAGCGTTGCTCAAGTCCAGCCTGACCACTTTGAAGCACATATTCTTGCGCTCTTCCTGGCTTAACCGCTGCAAGTATTCCAAGAAGATCTGCTTGCAAGTGGTCCTCTCTAATAGACAGCAGTCTTTCTTGGAGAAAGACTGAGTTATCTCTCTCTGCATGTCCTTGTATTGCTTCAACGTCATAGAAGAAGTCGAGTCCTTCCTTTCAACGTTCTTTTTGCTCGCAGTATCCTCGTATGGGGTTATGTCTTGGAACTTCTCATAGTCACTGTTGTGTATAGGCGAAGATCTCTCAGGGGATAAAGTTGACGATCGTTCAGGCGAATACGTGTACTCCGAGTTCTTGTAAGAAGCAGAGTCCGACATTGGACTGTACGCGTTCACAGAATGAGGTGGGGTCAAGAAGTATTGGTTGTGGTTGTTAGTGTCGCTTGGTATTTCAGCCAACTCGTTCAGTATTGTCAAGTCTGGTACGTCTGTACTGAAAAACTCGTTTTGGATGTGGTACGTGAATTCTTCGATGGGATTTGGCTGCGATATCTCCGGTGGTTGATGCGGGGGAGTAAGAACAAGGCTTTCACTTTGCAATTCTTCGATTGGTAAAAATTCTGCGAGCATATTGGTTTCTTCGATGGAGTTTTTGGGCCAAACTTCCCGGATGTACTCCGCGATGATGTTGAGATATTCTCCTCCGTACTCGTGTTGCGAATGCTCCGAAGATTGCTGCACTTGTTTGGTAGCATTGTCGAACTCTAGAAAGTCCACGTGTCTCGGGTTGACTATGACTTGTCCTCCGGTTAGTGTGTGCTTGTTTATTTGTATCTGCGGGAAAAGAAGAGATGGATTAGGTATTGATTTTTTTTCTTTTAATCGCAATGCGTTAAAAATGCAATAGGATAGTAATTAAGTGCCTGTAAAACCACTTGTTGACTAATCTAATAATTTTGGTTTACATTATAGTTAACATGAAACTGCTATATATATATATATATATATATATATATATATATATATATATATATATCTCCAAAGTAAGCACTGTAAGGCTTGTGTTACGGGATACTAGGGTAACGGATAGATACATATATAAGTATATTTATATAGAAATACATATTAAACATCCATGACTGGAACCCGCACCCTTCGCAATTCGGGCAAATGCACTGACCAATTATGCTACCGCGACCCTGATGGCCGCGTCGAAATTTTCCTATTCTTAAGCTGCAAGGCAGCGCCATCTCTTCGCATTGTAGGTAACCCACAATCCGTCTGCTGCCTGGTCCGCGTGGATTTTTTTCTATAAAACTTTTCTTTAGATTTAAACATCTAGCAGTTAAATGCTTAAAAAATAAAAACATATCGATGACTGGAGTACAAATGCTCGTATTCATATTTTATATATTTAAAGAAGATTTGACAATATTTGTGTTCTCATTGCGCCTTCCTCGGCGGATCCGCGTGTGCCTGTTTTACGTCCGCATATAGTTTATGACCTGGATTGAGACATAGGATACTTTTAACCCCGAAAAATGTTAGGTGCCTATGGCATTCTAAAAACTAAAGGAAACGCGAACGAAGTCGCTCTTAGCCGCTAGTGGTTTAATAATAAAGGGTTCTTATATTGTTTTATCGTAATATATATATTTCCTGTTTTAAACATAACCTGCAGCACTGCGCTCCTCTCACGCGCGCTCTGCGCGCACTCAACACGCTGTCTCTGCACTTAATGACTTGTTTCAATGCACATTGAATGAATTCACACGGGCCGCTTATTGTATACTATCATAGAAATGTTTATTTTATTTTCGTGTTTGTGTTTTTTTTTTATTTTTAGTTTTGTATAATAATTGGATGTATCGTAACTGCTCTATTGTATTAGGTTATACCTGTAATGATAGATGTAAGTGATTATTAGATAAATAAATAAATAAATATTTTTCTACTATATGACAACCAGTTTTTAACAATAAGCTATTCCTCTGTCTGATCCTAGATCTGGACATTTTACGCTTCCACGAAAGCCAAGTCTAGTAGTATAATTCCATTACAACAAACTCTTTTTATCTGGTAAATCTTTTGATCCGACCGGGACGCCATGTCGTTTCGAACAGGCATCTCTCCACTGTGTTACAGCCAGTTCATTCACATGAAAATTCAAAAATTAAATATCGTTGATTCAGTCTAGTCTTTAATAAAACCACATTACGTCCGAATACGCGTAATAAATATAAATATGATATATGCATACCTAGGATGAATAATCACTTGTATGTATTATAATAGCGCGTTCAGTACTAGCGTAAGGATCTTCAATCATTTGCCTGCAGAAATTAAAGCACACAATTGGCCACTGTTTAAATTAAAGTTAGAAAACTGGTTATTAAATAACTAGCAATCCAGTGAACCAAATGTTCACCAATAAAAAAAAAAAAAAAGAAAAATGTATTTAATTAATTGAGAACTTCGGAGATTTTGTGTGGTTTCGTTTGAAATTCGTGATTTCTCGAAAACCGGAAGTGCTACGTTACTCAAATCCGGTTTGTAGTCTTATCAGACTATTCTTAACTTATAACTTAAACATTCTCTTTGACGGACGGACGGACGGACTTGTCTAATAGATAAGAGATGTTTTCTATAATCTTGATGAATATTATACTTGTAAAACTTAATATAATTTAGGCTCTAAAATGTACTTTTTTAAATTATGATAGTTTCAAGTTATAAATTTTACCATTGCATGCCCGTTGTGGGCACACTGTTGTGACTTTGTTATTATTGCAATTCCAACTCAAAATTGTACACAGTTTTTTAAGCAATAAAGTTATTATTATTATATATTGCTAGCTGTCCCAGCGAACTTCGTACCGCCATAAAAAATAGGGGTTGGTGGAAGAAGGGAGAAAATTTAGGGTTGTATCCATTTTTGTATGATGTATCAAAAAAATAAATAAAAAAAAAATTTTGTAAAAAAAGAAAGGTGGTTAACCCTTAACTTTTAGGGGGATGAAAAATAGATGTTGTCCGATTCTCAGACCTACTGAATATGCATATAAAATTTCACGAAAATCGGTCGAGCCGTTTCGGAGGAGTTTAAACACAAACACCGCGACACGAGAATTTTATATATAACAAACTTCGTACCGCCATAAAAAAATAGGGGTTGGTGGTAGAAGGGTGAAAATTTAGGGTTGTATGTATTTTTGAATGATGTATCATAAGAAAAATAAAAAATAAATAAAAGTTATCTAAAATTGAAAAAAAAAATTAGGGATGGATTACCCTTAACATTTAGGGGGATGAAAAATAGATGTTGTCCGATTCTCAGATCTACCCAATATGCACATAATTTCATGAGAATCGGGAAAGCCGTTTTGGAGGAGTTTAACCACAAACACCGCGACACGAGAATTTTATATATTAGATTACACTGATTAGTAATTAGGTGAGTTCCTACATTTTCTGTGAGATTTCCGGGGGGGGGGGGGGGGATTTTTAATTTTCCCCTCCCTGAGTACGCCCGCGGGCCCAATGCGGATTAGTAGGTGAGTAGAAATGAATGACGTCACTGGTTCTTATCCATATTAATCTACTGATAACGTATGACGCTATGTGTGTTCTGAGTAGCTATTTCCTGTAATCATTCACCTTAACTGAGAATAGATTGATAACGAAGATAAAAACAATTGTTGTTTATTATAAAAATAATCTCATATGGAATTTTTTGTTCGCGCAAACCGTAGTAGGGGGCATTTATAATAAAATTCTGATTTGCAAAGAATTACAATAAGTAGCGGCAAACTTCTTAAAACATTAGACACTATATTATAATTTTGAGCAAAAAAATCATGTTAGTTGAACGAGCCCTCCTTAAATATCTATTTTACTTAACTATTTATTTTTAAAGTGAATATACAACTAAATATATTTATCCTATAAAACAATTACTAGAAAAAAATCCACGCTGACCAGACATCAGAATTGACTCGAACCCACACCCTACGCCATCCGGGCGAATGCACTGACCATTATTCTACCGCGGCCCTGATGGCCGTGTCTTTTCTTTTCTAGCCTTTCTCAAGCTGCATGACAGTAATTTTCTTTAGATTTAAACATCTAGCAGTTACATGCTTAAAATAGATTTGACTACATGGGTTTTATGGTGTCGCCTACTCGAGAGGTCCCGGGTTCAAATCGGTGGGGGCAGATGTTTGTGTGATGAATACGAGCATTTGTACTCCAATCATGAACGTTTAATATGTATTTCTATATATACTTATATATGTATCAGCATATGTATTCTATCCGTTATCCTAGTATTCCATAACACAAGCCGAAAGTGCTTACTTTGGGGCTACGCTAATTGGTGTGAGTGTTGGAAATATATATTTATATTAGACTTACAACGAATATTCGGTCTATTCGGCTGCTTTTATTATATTCGGCCGAATACCGAATATATACATATTATTAGACCGAATACCGAATACTTAAATAATATATTTTGTCATAGAGAAATAATTGGTAAAATGAAAAATTAAAATCGATTGATTACGTATATATTCATATTTTCATTTCTGTTATATAATCATTTAAGTAGTCATTGGTACATAACACAGGTACATAATCATATTCTGAATTGGAAAAATGGAGGATTCTATGTATTTCAATTATTGTGGTAATCAAAATTTAGAAGGGTAAGGTTCTCATTTCTTTTATAATCATGTATTAAGTAGTCATTGGTACATAAAACAGGTACATAATTTAATCATTTTCTGTATTAAACAAAGTTAACAGTTTTTAATTCATTCAGTCATGTGATGAATGGTTACATAATAGCAATAATTTTAGCTTGAGGACGGCAGATTAGAACAAAACAAAGGAGCGCGAAACAATCACGCCTGTACAAGTTTTTGGCGCTAAAATTCAGCCGAATACTTTTGCCTAATATTCGGTTATTCGGTCAGGGGCCTCGCCGAATATTCGGTATACTGCCGAATCTATTATTCGTTGCAAGTCTAATTTATATAGAACTATATGCATCCTGTTATTGAAACCACCTATTATCACTGACTTATGAAATAGTTTGTTTCCGAGCTAGGCATCGCAACTAACCGCAAAAAGGAAAAATTACAACTTTGTTTTCGTCACAATTAACAAAGTACATTATGAATCGGTGATTTCAGTATTTGTTGTTTAAATACAGCATATGAAATATCATATATCAAATATTTCTTTGTTTATATAGCCAGGGTAGGCAAATGACTCTACCCCACCTGATGTTAAGTGGTGATAAAGTCCAAACGCGAAGATAGCTGGCACAGCAGTTGTAAACTGCCACACCAACCATCCTCACCTTGTCGGTCTGCAAAAATGCTTGTTCACGCATCTCTTAAAGGACCCCAGACTGTAGGAAGGAGGGAACACGTGCGCGGGCAAAGAGTTCCACTTACGAATAGTACGACAAAGAAATGGGTCACCAAATTTCTTTGTTCATGTAGAAATTAGTGGTCATAGTAAGTCGGTGGCAACGCAGGCCAGCGCGAGTCGTCCTCTCAAGAAAAGGAAACCTAATTCGCGGATCCAATCTCGTTTTCATCGGCAAATTATACTTATTTTAGTCTGATACAGGTGTAGCAGAAAGCCACCAATCGTTTTCTATTTATTGTGTGGTGCATATGCTACACATGATTTTTGTGTAAGTTTTACTGTTCACGGAGCGCACGCAACAGGAGCTTATAATCAAAATCATTTATTCAGTTGACGCTGTCACAAGCACTCATGAATGTCTAGAAGCTATGCCATCGGTTCATAAATCTAGGGCG